GGGGGGGGGAGAAAATTAGGTTGCCATTATATGACCACCTTTTGTAGCTGGAAATCTTAGTTCTTTAAACATTTTGCCTTAAATTTCATGCAATATATATAGCTAATAAATTTACAGCATACCAATGTTTCATTTCAAATTAATGGGGGTTCCTCCAACCCGCCTCCCCACCGACTAACTGTCGATTCAACAGACTCACTGTGTTTGCATGGCAAGGTTTCTAAATAATACGATAAAAAATTTTTATAACTTAAAAATACTGTAGATAAATCCTTACTTGTCCCCACTGGGTAAATCAAATTCACTCATATCCACCGTAAGATAATCGCTCTCTGAAAACTGTTCTGTTTCCTTTGAGAAATCTTGGGAAACATAACATGTCTGAAAATTGGAAAAGTATAGCGTTGTTAACTACTTTAAGTGCTTTTATTTAGGCTGGATAGCTGTATCAGTTCTAAACTGTTCTGCAACTCTTGATAGGTCGAAAATGGGGTACCTGGAGAAAACCAAGAGTTAAAGGCACATGTATTAACAATTTTGCCTTCAATACAATTATAAAGCATTGGTGTAATTCTTGCCTGCGTTTAACCACCAACTCTCGTCAACTCTCCTGAACTTTGAGCTGGTTGAAATTTTGTTATAGTTGATGAGAGTTTCTGCTAGGCGCGCGGTAATATCACGTTATCTCTCATCAACTCTCATTGCAATTCTTGTTCTCGTTTGACCGGGGCATGGGAGTTGAGAAAACTCTGATGCAAACTCTCGCTTGTCAACTCTCGTCAACTCTCATGCAAACTCTCGCTTCTCAACTCTCACCTTCGTTTGATCAAGGCTAAACAATTCCATGAACTATCATTTACCTTCACTTTCAAGTACTCAGCGATGTAATTTTCGACGTCAGAAAAGTATCTAAAAGGATTAACTATATGTCATAAAACCTCCTTGACTTTAGTTGTAGTATATCAATCCATAATTGATTTACCTGTAGCCAGAAGATGACAGCAATCGCATGAAATGATCTGTAACCTGGCGTCCTCCGTATGGTAAACTGTTCATACCGGATTCAACAACATAACCTACCGGTATATGAAGAGATCTTTATTCAAGACAGTTAAAATACGTTTTTCTTCAATGCTTCTGGTACAAAACCGCATAAAGACAAAAATAATTTCTACAATTTTTAATTTTTAATCACCTTCTTCGATAGGCACAACATCAATATGATCTCCAATGTTGACTAAAAATAAAATATGCAAACTTGGTTATAATTTGGTTTATAACAGCGCATTCAAGCTTGTTCCAAACTCGTTGTTACAAACAACAACAAGTAGTGCGAACACAACGTGTCGACAGCTTGTGAACAGATTTGTAACACAACTTGTTTGCAGACCTGTAAAAACCATAGACGGATTTTCATATTTATTACTGGAGTGGTGCCAGAAATGTTAGGGGGTTGAGCCGTGAGCAGGTGACTGAAGCAACACAGAGTGTCACCAAACCCCAGTAAGGTATAGCTATATTCTAGGGGTGGAGCACTAGAGCCGCGAGGGGGAGTCTAGAGAGCAGAAAACAAAGTATCCCAGGAAAAAATTGAAAAAATCATGATTTCTAGCTTCGAAAAAAGATTTTTGAAGTTGTCAATTTGTCATATAAATGGATTTGGCATGTCTGATTGTCTGTTAAGACTTGAGAGAGTTAAAGACTTAAAGTTAAATGAACCTATAAAAGTGTAAACCCAATAGGCCAATACACAATATGCTTTTACTTTTATAAAGTCATTGACATTGTGTTGTTTGAATCCGAGTAGAATTTATGATGCAACTCCGACGTAAATAATATTTGGGGCGTAAAGATTAAATCTAGGCAAGTCTATTTCCCAAAAGAATTAAAAACTAAAAATAGTGTTCGTAAAAATTCCAAACGTTCCTTGCGTGCAAGGCACTGCAAACTCTATTCAGGGGAGATAATAGAGTTTCAAAACTTTACAATTGCTCCAATAAACCAGTGAATGCAAGCGAGGAGCGATTAGTTTCAGAGTGTTGCACTGTCTTTTTCTATTTGAGTGTACTCCTACGTTTATTTTGCATCATCAACACTCTGCACGTTGGAATGGACTATTTAATTAGTTGTTATGCCGAATATTGGGGGGGGGGTTGAACATTTTTTTGGAGGGGTGAACATTTTGTTTGGGGGGTTATAGCTAATATTGGAGG